CGCTGCGCGAATATATGCGTATCTTATGTACGTGTATACATATATATATATATATATATATATATATATATACATTTAGCTCGCTTTAGATCGTTTTTACAAGCAGCTCTTTCTTTTGATATCCGTCTGCTGAAGACGTTAAGACCAGGCGGCAGTTGAGACACTCTGCATGTAGACACGTCATAGACACCCCACGCTACTTTCCAACCGTTCGCTCTTCCTCGGATTGGCGAGAACGAAAATTCGCAGGCGCATTCGCGACAACGACAACGACCTAAATGGCGGACGCCTCCTTCGTGCGGCTATATCGGATTATGATCCGGGCGGTGCTGTTCGCCTCGATGTGGAGCCACCTTAATCCGCAGAGAGAAGAACAGAGAGAGAGAGAGAGAGAGAGAGAGAGAGAGACAGAGAGAGAGAGCCCGCTCTCTCGCTCTGTTCCGCGCGACTTATCATCTCGATCGTTAAAAGTGCATGCGGGTGGGTCTATAGCGCGCATAGTCGGCATAGGGTACATCTGTCTCCCCGCGCGCATACACGGGGTGTCCCTAAAACACGATGAAAAGCCACCGTATCGCTCCCTCCGACATTAAAACTCACATTTGCATGATATCGGTTAACGCGAGTTTGAATCACCGTCTCCCATCCTTTTTGCATATTATATTTGATGACTCTTATCTGGAAAGAAAATGGATCTTTAATGTAGAGGGTGTCTCCTTTTTTCCTGGCGTAGAGAGAATCCATCTCGTACGATATCGGTTAGCAGCGGGGAGCTTTAACGAAGAAGCATTTAGTTAATTTAAACGTTTAAGCGGTATTTAAAAAAATCATTGAGTGGTATCGAGGGAAGGAAATTAAGGCTTTTCCCTCTTGAAAAGAATTTTCATCGAACATGCATTTTTTTCTCGAGCGGTTAATTTTCAGCGTAGATCAATCGAGTTTCGAGTTTAACGTCTCGTTAAATTGGAATCCTTCAAACTTCTGCCGAACCTCAACTTGAGATTAAATTAAAATGTGCTTCGTAATGTGTAATATTTGCCAAAAAGTCCAACTTCGACAAAGTCATCCTTAAACTTCGTCGCCCGAAAGGAAGAAAGGGAGAGAGAGAGAGAGAGGGAGAGAGAAAGAGAGAGAGAGAGAGAGAGAGAGAGAGAGAGAGAAAATGAAAGGAGTATTTTTTTTCCACCGCGTCGCCGCTCTTCTCTTCCACTCTGCTCTTTGCTTTATACAAACGCGACCGCACGATTCGAGTCCCGAATTGCGCGAGACACCCTGTAGAACCGCCGTCGCCGACACAACGATCGTACGTGCCGTGTTCGTTGTTGACGGTGAGCGGGTGGCCGGACGGACGGGCACCGAATAAACACACGTCGTGTGCATACATGTGCACGTATGCACGCACTCACGTATACACACACACACACACACGCACGTACGCACGCATATAGACGTACACGCCACATGTACACACAGACAGCGTACATATCACACACACACACACACACACACACACGCGCGCGCGCGGCAGCCTGACGGATGGGATGGACTTGGTAGGAGGGTAGAGGGACAGTTGAAATGGTCGTCGCTCGTACGCACTACACACACGTCAGGCGTACGTTTCATCCACCTGCAATGAGCGCGACTTCAGGTAGAAAAAAGAAATCCCCGTTTGCTTAGGGCCCGCATTAGCATCCACTACGTTCTACGTTCTGCCCGGCACGGCGTTTTCGGAGCCCCGCCGCGCGCCGTTTCGAACCACGCCGGTTCCTCTTGAGAACTCGTGAGATGTCCTCCTCCTCCTCCTCCTCCTCCTCCTCTTCATCCCGCTCCGCCTTTCCACCCTCCTCACACTCGCTCCTCCATTATTCAGTATCCTTTGGAAGGATAGAGGACGTGGCCGGTATTCTTGAAGGATGGACAGACGCGCTCGGTTTCGGGGCTCTCCGATTTCACGGTTCTCCACGACGCCGTGGATTCGCGGTTCTATTGGACTCAAAGAGTTCACGAATTCCTGGTCCTCGGTGTGCCACTGGAGAGCTCTTCATCTATACGGATAAATTTATTCTACTCTTGAGACAGACGCGCACAGAGGGGAAGAAATTACGAAACTCTCCTCTTATCCTTCGAAAAGGCGCGAGATACGTTAGATCTTCACGATCTCTCTCACGGATCCTCGGTTACTCTCGTACTCCGGCAAAGCCGCAGATCTTTGTGTCCGTAGTTCCGCGTAGCCGCAGATTTTCTTAAGTTCGCGTATGGAGTGTCTGGGTGGAGAATCGGATGTCGACGTTCGACCGCAGGTACTAGAAGACCAGCTGAAAGTTCAGGAGATCGAAGAATGAACTTTTTTCCACCTGTCTCTTAAGTCTCTTTAGCCCGTGAGAGAAATCTTCCCGTAAATGACAATGACTTTTTATCTCCATTTCACCCAGATTCTATACAAAGAATTTTTTGGTTGTACGCGTAAGCATATTGAATTCAAACCTGTTTCAATGCATAAAATTGCTTACAACGTACAATCGCTTTATATTACGCTGAAAAAAGTATTAAATAATAAACGCGCGCGCACACACACACACACATACACATTCAATATTTTAACAAATATTTGTTGGAATTTTTCTAAATAAATATTTACTAAATGCGAACCTATATTTATTTGATATAAAATCATTAATTTGATTTAACTGTCACTTTTTTTATCGAGTAAATATTTATTCACTGCAAGTAAATGTTTACTTAGTACTGTTTAAAGAAGTATGTGTTAAAATTTAATAAACTTCCTTGTCAGTGTATATTCGTTAAAAAAACACGAGATTTTCTGGGATTCAGTATATCAAATTCAGATAATTTTTCGTTGAGGATTGCAGATACTGCCACGTAGAGAAATAACAGATACAGATCCGGAGATTCAGAGGAAATGGTAAAGATGAAGAGCCCACGGATGAACTCGTTTATAATAAATAAAGTATTTTGGTCTGATATATATTTCGTAACTCGACTTTGGAACCGCGCGATTACCCGATACGTTTACCTTTGCTGGCAATGAGATTTATTAGCGGTATGATTCATCGTCGGGATAATGACTTTTCGCAGTTCGGCCCATCCGTGATGGATCTCAAGACCAGGTATAAAATCAGCTAGCTCGTTTATTTAGATCCCGCGGCACTTTTCTTACTCTCGTCCGAGATCTCTCTTTCGAATTCCTCGCCTCCATTATTCAGCGTTTCCAATCGAACGGCCGGCGATGCGACGACCAGACGCGACGCCGTGAAAATCGATGCCGCGATGACGCGATCGACGCCGAATGATAAGCATCGTTTGTACGTTTTGTCAACGACATTCGCCGCCTGATAACGACCAGTCGTTTCCGGCCGATTGGAAAAGCTCGCCTTCCTATAGAAACCGCCCTCTTCTCGTCTTCCGCGAAC